GATGTGAAGAAGGGCTGAGCCGCTGCAGGAGGTCTGGGAGGGCACCCGGCTGACTTGAGCAGCCACAGCTCCCAGGACTCACAGACGGAGGGCGCCACACAGTTGGGGTGTCTTTGTGAAGGTCTGTCCCCCCCACCCGTGGCTGCAACTGCCCAGCCCTGAGCTGGCTCCTCCAAGAGGCCATCCAGGGCTGCCCATCTGGCTGGCGCTGCTTCTGTGCCAGGCTGGAACAGTGAGGACAGGCAGGGGCAGCCTGGGTGGCCTCCACCTCCCTCCTGGGCACCTCCTGGCCTCTACCCATAGCACCTCCATGGAGCTGGGGGAGGAGGGTAGGAGCTGGACGTGGCAACCAGACCCTCATCACGGAGGGACCCTTGTGACTTTCAGGAAGAGGGCAAATGAGAGTCCCGTGTCTGGGAGCTCTCCAGGAACACTCGCTGTGCGGGCAGGTGTAGCTCCGCACCCCTAGGAACAGCCCTCGTCAGGATCCCCTCAGGAGGCTCCGCCCTGAACAGCGTGAGCAGGCTGAGGCCAGGTGGCGGTCTGCCTTGCTGACCGTCGCCAGCCACTGCCCTGGGGCACCTCTGGGGAGCCTGCAGGAGGGGAGCAACTATACCACCCACTTCTGGGGTTCTGTGGGTCTTCCCACCCCCCGGCACTGTCCGGCACCGCGTGGCTGGCAGGAGAAGCCAGGAGGGGAGAGGCTGGGCCCTGGCGACTTCACCACAGAGACCTCTCTGGCCTTTCTGTTCTGCTTGTGATTCTGCAGCCGACTCTTGCACTGAGTTCATCTCATTGTGGATGATCGTATGCTGACCGTGATAGTGATAAGGACCCAGAAGGATCTTTAGAAATGTAGAACCTATAGGGAAGTTTTAAAAAATAGCCCTCAAAAGAACATAAAGTCCAACTATGATTCTTTTTGTCAATAAGTATATAATAGGATTATTGATTTTAAAAAAGCCTAAAATCGATGAGGATAGAAATCATTGAAGAGAGTGTGATAGATATAAAGGAGAAAGGCAAAATGGATCATTTCTGATTATTAAAAACTTGTGTGTGTTTAAAAGGTCACGATGTTTGTATTCCACAGTCAAGTAACAGTTTTATCTTAAAGTTCTCAGGATACCAGACAGAAATCTGACCTTTTGTAACTATTTAACTTATGAGGCATTTTAGGTGTCCATTCAGAAATGCACAAAGGCGGGAAGTTCTACATTTTTAAATGAGATGCTCAAGCCAGAAAGACGGAGGACTCTGCCCAGGCGCTGGGCTGAGCCCTGCGGGTCGTGGCGTGTGGTGCTGGTCCCTTGCCAGCGCCTGCAGCCCCCTGAGGGCAGCCAGTCACCCTGCCGTGTGCAGGGCATGAGATAAGGGCCCGCGGTCACGTCGCCGACAGAGGAACGCCAGCTTTTCTGAGGTGTCCTGGGGTGCCAGGAGATGTGTCCAGAGGTCATTTCCAGGAAGAGCGTCACTTCTGGGGCGTGCAGGGGGGTAGGAAGGGTGGCCAGAGGGGCCGCAGCGCCCGCGGAGAGAAGCCCAAGACCAGGGCTCACCCTGCGGTGGGGCGCTGGCCCCTGTCGACCTGGAGTCCGTGAGTGCAGGGTGCGGGCACCGAGTGCAGGCTCCGCCTCCGCCTGGCCTCTCCAAGACGCGCAGAGGACAGTCAGAGGGCCCCTCGGCTCTACTCTGGGAATTAGGGGTGACTCCCCCAAGGACCCCATTTCTTCCGTCACTGTCCTCCAGCAGCCACATAATGGGGGCATCTATCCACCAGCACAGGAAAGAGGGACAGCGATTGGCCCTTACAGAGGTGTTTCTTACATCTCTATCTAAATAAAACGTTGAATCTTATTTATTTTCTATTGATTTTAGACTTACACAAAATTAACAAAATCAGTATGCGATTCCCCACATATTCCTTGCTGGCATGGTGGTCCAGGACCAGGAAGTCAGCTTTGATAGCAGGGCTGCCCGAGGAGGACCCTGAGGTGTGGCCAGCTGCTGCAGGACGCCCCACTGCGGTCCTCTGTCACTCTCCAGCTACTGCAGCCGGCCGCTCTCCCTGCAGTCACAACTTTTCTTTCATGACCTTGACACATTTGGGGGGTAGAGGTGACTCTGTCCAGCCCTCTCCCTGGGGCTCTGTCCGGCTCCACGGGGCTGGCCGGGCCTGGGGCTTGTGGTGCCCCCTTGATGGCTGGGCTGAGGCCGTCCCTGCCCTGCTGTCCCATAAGCATCTTGGGGGAGATCTGCTGAGATGGGGAAAAACTGCTTCTCCCCAGTCTCCCCGCCACCCCAGGTGTCCAGTGGCCCTCCTCGAAGCCTGGCCACTCACGCCCACATCCAGTGACCTTCCATGGCTGGCCTGGAGTCCTTGGGGAAGAGCTGTCCTTCTGCCCAGTCAGGCTCCGTGTGGGCGAGGAGAGCCCCCCCGTTCCTGGGCCCTGGTCTCTGTGTGGGGCGGGGGTGTCTTCCCGGTGCTTCTTAGTGGGGGTCATGCCCTCGGTCCAGTGGGAGGTGGGGCAGGTCTCTAATTGTGGGTGTGGTGCCATCCCCTGTACCAGACCCCTGAGGGACTCCGAGTTTCAGCTGCCTTGGTCACTCCAAGGCCATCTCAGTTTTATTCTTTACTGTCTGGGTGAGAAGGAGTGGTCACCCACACCCAGGTGGCCCCCAGGTTTCTGGACCTGCCTTTTCATCTCTCCTTCAAAACAGCCACTCCCTCCCGAGCGCACCTCCTGTCAACAGCAGTGACAGTGACCAGTGTCGCCGGCGTCCTGTTCTCTGACCACTTCTAGAGCTCTGCACTCCAGAGGGGCATGGTGGCCTTCGCACCCACCCAGAGGACTTCCAGGAAGCTTGGGTGTCCTGCATGCCGCCTTCCTGTGGGCAAGATGCCTGCGCTCCCGTGGCCTCCAGCCGGCAGGACTCGGCCTGGCAGGACTGTTGGTCAGGCCGCACTCCACCACCAGTCCTGGACCAGTTAGGGCCTCAGGGACAAGTCCGCGGCCCAGGTGACAAAAGCGGGTTCTCCCACAGGCTGTGTGTTCCACAGAAGGCCCTGCTCCCAGCAGAGTGGACGGAGGGCTGCTGCATGTCCCCAGGTCCCCTCCATCATGGGTGTGCCTGCACCTCACTGCCAACTCCTGGCTGGGTGGCCTTTCTTCCCTCTCCTCCTCCTCCTCCTCCTTGTTCTTCTCCTTTCCCGTCCGCGGGAGGTGTGGTGCCCAGGCCCAGCACACACTCGGCAGACGCTGCGCCACCGAGCTGCCTCGCCAGCCCTTGCTGAGCACCCAGAGTGGCTCTGTCTCTGGAGTGGCTGGGGTCCAGGGGTGTGCCCACTGTGCCTGGCTGGGCAGCTTTAACGGGTAGCATTGCTGTTAACTCACCTTCCAGTTTTTAGTACGGTTTCCCGTGTGAACCGTGAGCTATTATAAAGTGCAATTCATGATCTCTAAATATGTAGGTATCTCTAGTCACACTTTGTCATCTAATTTCAATGGCATTAAAATAGATTCAACATGATCTCAGCAGTGAGTTTGTTTAAATGTGCTTTATAGTTTATATGATCTCTTTTGGCAAATCCTCCATGTCTGTCTAAAAGAACGTGCCTTCTACCATTATTGGGTCCAATATTCTATGTACCGAGTGTGTGAATGCCATGTAAAATCTGTGACCCTCACTGATTTGTGATCTGTCTGTTAGCTGAGATGGTTTCAAGCTCCATTGTGATCGTAGGTCAACTGTTTATACTTGTAGTCTCTGTGTATATTCTGAAGCCCCATTGCTAGGGACATACAGTTTTGTGTTTTATTTTGATGAATTGATCCCCAAATCATTTGAAACATTTTTTTAAAAATGCTTTCTAGTTGTCAATGGACGTGATTTTTATTTATATGTATGTGGTGCTGAGACCTCACACACCCGCCGTGGGCAGAGCCCTCCCACTGAGCCAGCCACCCGAGACCTTCTCCTCCAGTCAGTGACACTGTCACCTTCAAGTCCCTGGCCTGAGGTCAACATAGCACCGATAGTCACATTGTAATTGATCGTCCAATAGTAAATACCTGTCTCCTCGTGGCTGTCGTTCCTGTGTCTTTAGCCTTAGGATATGTTCCTTATAAGCACCGAATAGTTTTTAAAACTCTGGTCTGACGCCAGCCCTCTTTACCCCAGCTCCTCTGGGGTCCCAACGCCTTTGGGTGCTCCCCTCTTACCCGTCTGCCTGCTGGGCCCGGTCCTCCCCTCTTCTCTTTTCTTTTTGAGTCGGCGCCTTGCTGTGGGGCCTGGCGCAGTGCCCACTATCCCACTCCTCAGGATATATGCAAAGGACTTAAAATCAGCATACTATAGTGACTTGGCCACATCAATGTTTATAGCAGCTCAATTCACAATAGCTAAACTATGGAACCAACAACCTAGGTGCCCTTCAACAGATGAATGGATAAAGACAATGTGGTACATATACACAATGGAATATTACTCTGCTGGGTAAAAGGCAGGGTTGCTGGGTAAAAGGCAGGACACTTTTTTTGGTGTATGTCCTCAATCCTGTCCTTGTCTTTAGTTAGCTAATTGTGGCCACCCTAACCCAAGCCCTGCCGAGCCCTCTGAGTACAGACGCGTCCGCTTGGCCCCAGGCTCTGCCTTGCAAGCTGTTCCATCTGTTGGCCACAGGACCTGGGCTGCCTCGGGTTCCTTCTCCAGGCCCTGACTCTTCACTTCGGAGCTCTCCAAGGCCTCAGAGTCCGCTCCACCCAGGATCTGCTCAGGCTACCTGCCGCCCCAGCTTTGGGGACCCGGGTTGGCAGCCTCCTCTGGGTTGCTGTAGGAAGGCCCAGTCCCTGCAGGCCATCTGCTCTTTTGTGGGGGTACTTGAATGGCCCGGCTGTACGTGGTGCAGCTGTTCATGTCTTATCACCGGCATATTTTTTTGTCCCTTTTAAGATTCATTTCAGGATTTCCTTTCCCTCCCTCACCTTTTTTTTTTTTTTTTTTGATAAAGGAAGCAACTACAGAAAGCTTTTATTTGTTCAAAGTAACCAGTGCTACTGATGCAAAACAAAACCCAACACCTCCCCAGTACTACTTTCAAAACCAACATATCAAACTTGATTTTCATTAGAATGTAGCTATTTTTTCACACTAGTAAATCAAAAACCAAGACCCAGATTTTATATATATATAAATATATATATATAAACAATGCAAAGAGTTATTGAGCTTCATCTTCTGGACAAGAATGCCAAGTTAGTCTCTCTTCATAAAAAGCAATTACAATTTGAGGACACTCCATATTTGCTTCTTTTGCCAGCACCAAGTCTGCCTCATCTGACTCTTTCCATTTCATAAGAAACATCAATTCTCCACTGCTGTCTGTGGCACCGATTATTCGTTCAGGATCAAGACCTCTGGCAAAGCCTCTTGGTTTGTCAGCAGCATCTCTTTTCTTCTTTGACTTGCTATCATCAGATTCCCTGTCAGATAAAGATTCTCTTTTGGTACCATCTTTTTCTTGACCAGCTTTTTGAGAATTAAGAAATGCTTCGATTAACTCTGGACAATCTAAATTTTCTTCAGGTTCCCAAGTATTGTCAGCATCTGTAAATCCTTTCCACTTCAGAAAGTATTCCACCTTTCCATTTACTACACGTTGGTCTAGGACTTTTTCTACCACAAATTCTTCAGGCTCTGCCTCTTCAACTTTTTTACTCTTTCCATTCTGTTTCTTTCCCATTTTTTGCAATGTAGTCTTATTGGAGGCCATTTTTTTAAATTGCAGACTTGAAGAGCCACAATCACCACCTCCGATGCTCCAGGTCGCGGATCTGCAGCGTCTCCAGCCCTGCGCGCCTCCCTCCCTCACCTTTTTGTTTTGAGTTTTTTTGTGTTGTTCAGATGGTTTCTAAACATCCTCCTGCCTCAGCCTCCCGAGTAGCAGGGACCTCAATGCACACCTCCGTGCCTGGCTTCATGGCAGGATTTTCTTATTCTGAGAATTCACCTTTGTTCATGGTCAGTCCCACGCCCTGGAGACACTGATCCCTCCAGGGCTTTGCTGGCCCAGTCTCCTGTGCCTCCTGTGGTCTGTTCTGAGTTTCCTTCTTCCTAGGGCTCTCGGTGGCCTGCCCCCCCCCAAAAGCTGGGCTGCACCCTCCTTTCCCTCTGGCTGCTCCTTCCTCACTGTCAGGTCTGTAGGGCCCCTTTGTCTCCTTTGCTGATTCGGTTCCTACCTCATCTGCAGGGTTAGCCCTCAGACCCCTCTAAGGTGACCCCAGCCAGGGGCAGCCGCTCTTTAGCTGGGGCTTGGGTCTGCCCTCTTCTGAGTCCAGTGGGGTTGTGGCTGGAGACCGCCTGGTGTCTGTATCGTGTCTGTGGCTGCTGGGCCCCTCCTGGGGTGGGCTCACGGGCCTTCTCTGCTCGGGGCCTTCTCTGCTCGGGGCTGTTTTCGTCACCTGGCCTCGGGGTTTCCTGGCAGCCTTTCCAGACGGTGACTTTCCAAGCTGTGGGCTCACTGAGAGCTTTCAGGGTGCAGGGAGGTGGGGGACTTCCTGCCGAGGCCGGGCACTCTTCCTCCTGGCTCCCTCCTGACCCTGCTTGCGGGGTCTGTGCTGCTGGCTCGCTCGGGCTTGGCTGCTGGACTGAGAACGTGCGGGTCCTCTGGGGGCAGATGGTGCAGGCGCCATTCATCTGGCAGATCCGGAGCTAGGGGCACCCGCAAGGACTAGGTGCATGTGAATCCTCTCCCCACTGCCAGGGCCCACCCCGGAGGTCCAAGCGGCCACCCGCATCCAGTGTGCCTTCCGGCAGCACCTGGCGAGGAAGGCGCTGGCCCTGCGCAGGCAGGAGTACCTGGGGCGGATGGAGGAGCTGCAGGGGGAGGTGAGCGCGGGCGCCCGCCCCGGATCCGGGCGTGGGGGCGGCGGCGAGGCGGGGCTGGGGCGGGGTCCGCCCGGGGCTGAGGGCGCAGTGACCCCCAGGGCCACGCCCCGCAGGCCTACCTGGCCGCGGTGCGCCGGGAGCAGGAGGCCGCGCGGCGCAGCGCGAGCGGCAGGAGGAGCTGCGGCGCCGCGGTCGCCTGCTGGACGCCGCCTTCGAGGGCGACGTGGGCGAGATCCGGGCCGTCCTGCAGGAGGTCAGTGGGGCGCGGCGGGCGCGGCGGCGCGAGGTGACGCGAGGTGACGCGAGGTGACGCGCTGCGGGCCGGCGCAGGTGGAGCAGCTGCTGACCCGCGAGGGCGTGGGCCACGAGGAGGAGGGCCGCGCGCGGCGGCTGCGGCGACGCGTGGCCACGGTGGAGTGCGAGGACAGCCACGGGAACACGCCGCTGTCCGAGGCGGCCGCGGGCGGGCAGGCCTCGGTCATCCAGCTGCTGGCCGAGCTGGGCGCCAGCCCCAACAGCAAGGTGCGCCCGCGGGCTGGGCAGCGTGGGGTCGTGGGTCCCAGCGCAGCCGCCGCCGGCTCATGGGGCCCCTCGCGCAGGGCGCCTTCGGCAGAACGCCGCTGTACCGGGCAGCCTTCGGGGGCCACCTGGAGGCCGTGGAGCTGCTTCTGAAGCTCGGAGCCGACCCCCGAGTGTACGCAGACGACGGGAGCGCCCCGGAGCAGGTGTGGGGCGGGCGCCGACTCAGAATCTCCCTTGTCGCCCCACGGTGGCGCACGCCGGTAATCCCAGCGACTTGGGAGGCTGAGGCAGGAGGACCGTAAGATCAAGGCCAGCCTCAGCAAATAAGCAAGGCCCTGTCTCCAAATAATAAATAAGAAGGGCTGTGGATGTGGCGTAGTGGCAAAGCGCCCTGGGTTCAATTCCCAGCACCAAACAGAAAATAAAACTCCTCCCTTGTTGCCTGCAGGCAAGGTGACAGCCACCTGAGTTGTTTGGGTGACTTCCGTGCAGGTTTGCCTTATCACCCTCCATGCTCCTGTACCCTACCCGGAGGCAGTGTTAGAGCCCTAGATGAGGAGGCTGAGGCTGGCCACTCCAGGGGCTGGCGGTGTTGGCTGGGCTCCTCCCAGGCCCGTGGACTGTGGGGCCCAGGAGGCTACGGGGAGCCTAAGAGCCCCTGGGAAACCAGGTCAGGACATGCCTGCTACCTTCATTTCCTTTAAGTCAATTTATGGCCCCCAGTCCCCAACTCAGGTCCCACCCCTAAACTGAGGCTGCCTAGAAGTCAGTCCCGGGATGGGCCTCAGGCCTGCAGGGCAGGGTAGACTGCCAGGGTCTCGCCCAGCCTGGGACGTTGGCGCCACCCTGTGGCTGCTGCTCTAGGCCCGGCCTATTGTGCCCTGCTCTTCCCCTTGTCTGCCCAGGTCCCTGGGCTAGCAGGGTATCAGTGGGCTCTGAGGTGTGGAAGAGCACAGGTGAGGGTCTGGGGCTGCTGAAGACGCGTCCCGCTGTGCCTGGGCGCTGCTGCTGGTGTGATGTGCCAGGAAACCAGCCATCTCCATTGGCTGGAGCGCTGGACTTCCACAGGCAGAGAAACAGGCCCTGACCTGAACCTCACCTTATGCAAAGTTAACTCAATGGACTAGAGACCCAAATGTAAATGCAAAAACAAAAACACTGCCAGAACCCGTCCCTCTCCCCAAGTCGCCATGTCCTGGATTGTATGGCGATTCCATAGCGGCTTCTTGTGAATATTGCCATTGTCAGTATCTCAGTGCAGGTTTACAGTGGGCATGCAATGGTGCCTCACTGTGGTTCTCATTTGCATCTTTCTGCTTTTTAATTAGTGAAGGAGAGAAATCTGCCTTATGCTTGACAGGTGTTGAGACCTCTTTTTAAAGAAGTGCCTGTTCAGCTGAGTGTGGTGGCTCAGCTGGCTGCGGTTATCTCAGCAGCTTGGGAGGCTGAGGCAGGAGGGTTGCAAGTTCAAGGCCAGCTTCAGTAACTTAGCAAGACTCTGTTAAGCACCCCTGGGTTACCAAAAAAAAAAAAAAAAGTGCCTGTGCACATTAGTGGCAGATGGCCCTGTCTGCCTGAAGTGTTCTTCACCTGTTCCAAACCAAGCCTCAACATGGGTCACACATGCTTGTTCTTTCACTCTCTCTGTCTTACTACAGTGAACTCCAGGGCTCTTTCCCTTCATGCTGGGTGCTCTGGTGTCAGTCTAAATCTCTTCATATCCCCACGGACACAGAGATCTTTTCCTACTCAATCTGCCAGATGTTTGAGTTCAGACCCGCAGCCACTGGAATCCACGTCTGTGCCGTACCCATGTGTTTCCTGTGAGTCCCTCGTCATGTTCGTGTCTCATGCGAGTGTACAACTTTCCTGGCACATTTTTCAGAAGATCGTACTCACCTCTGCCACCTTTATTCTAAATCAAATGCCTAACCTGTGCAGCTGCACTTGAATGTTGCTGGTCAGAGGGAGAGAGCTCCAGAGGGCCTGGTGCAAATCAGTTTTGCTTGCAGCTCGCTGGCCAGACCCCTTAAGCCATTTGACTCCATGACCACAGCCGATCAGGAAGTGCAATCCCATCGTTAGTCTAGAAGGTGGAGGGGTGGACATATACAGTGGACAGCTCTAATAACTACTTGGTTCTGTATTTTCCATTACTTTGTCTTGGTTTATTCTGCATATTTTCTTCTAACATTTCTACCAGTTCACTAATTCTCTCTTCCAGCTACATCTATCTGATTATTAAATATGTACGCTTTCTTCTTAGTTTGGTTAATTTTAATTTCTAGAAATTTCATTTCACACACATACACGCGCGTGCGTGCACACATCTTTCAGCTTTTACCAAAAATCTCACTCTAGGCTTCCATCTCCTTGAACATAATAAATATATTATTTTGACATCTGTAGCTGATAACTCCAAACTCTGGATCCCTGTGGATTATCTCTGTAACCTGTAGTCTAGCAAGTTTTTACTCATACTGTCTTCTGTTATTTTCTGTGCCTTTTTGTCATGTTTTTAATTTTTCAATATTTATTTTTTAGTTTTCGGTGGACACAACATCTTTATTTTATTTTTATGTGGTGCTGAGGATCAAACCCAGCGCCCCACGCATGCCAGGCAAGCGCGCTACCGCTTGAGCCACATCCCCAGCCCCTCATGTCATGTTTTACCTGTAGCAATAATTTGAAGCCCAGCAAAATGACACCTCCCTTGACCAAGGCTCTCCTACTGCCCTGACCTGTGCTGAGCACTGACAGCCTGGAGTCACCCTACCAATTTCAAGGCTAAGCCAAAGTCTCTTTGAGGGCCTAACTCTGGGTCACCTTTATCCTAAGGGTGCAGTCTTTAGAAACCCAGTCCAGGCTGGGTGTGATGGTGTGCACCTCTAATCCCAGCAAATCTGGAGGCTGAGGCAGGAAGACTGCAAGTTCAAGGCCAGCCTGGACAATTTAGTGAGATCCTGTCTCAAAGTAAAAACTAAAAAGAGCTGGGGATGCAGCTCAGTGATAGAATATCTCTAGGTTCAACCCCCAGTACCAAAAAAAAAAAAAAAAAAAAAACCACGTAGAAATAAAAATATCCCCTCCCAAAAAACCCCAATACAAGTAAAGATTAGAGTGGGATATTTATTCACAAACTGTAAATTCCTTCAGTCACCCTCCGCCTGTATTCATCCATCCATCCATCTGAGCCTGTCTTTCTTTTTTGGTTTTTGTACTAAGGGTTGAATCCAGGGGTGTTTAACCACTAACCACATCCTCAGCCCTTTTTAATTTTTGAGACAGTCTGACTAAATTGCTGAGGCTGGCCTCAAACCTGCAATCCTCCTATCCCAGCCCTCCGAGCTACTGGGATTATAGGCATGAGCCACCTCGCCTGGCCCTAGTGCCTCTTGAGGAACTCAAGTCAGAGAGCTCAGAGGGTCATTGCCAGCCTGGGGGTCTTGGTAGCCCTAGGGTTTGTCTTACCTGCCACTGGTAGATGCTGAGTGCAGTTGTGCAGGGTAGGCAAATCAAACTGCCTCTGAGAATGTTTATTTGAGATGTATTGAAAGCAATTGAATTTGGCTCTGGGAGGGCTTTGAGCTAACAGCTGCTATAAAGAATCGAGCAAGAGGGTGGAGAGACTGGCGGACCTGAACCCGTCCATGTACAGGTCCTGAGAGGCCACTTTCTACCCATCAGCCACATCCCTGGCCTCCTGGAGGCCCACAACCCTCCTGGCAGCCCCTCCCCCCGTATCTGCCTCCA